AATGATTTCAAAAATAAATATGAAAACAAAAACCAAACTTTACTTCGATGATCGCATATATTTCGAGTATTATGAATTGTACATAAAATCTTATTATGTTCTTTAAATATCATTTTATACTAAAATAATGTAAACAATTCTGTAAATTAAAACTACATTTTTTCTCTACTATCTCTTACTTTTTCATTCCAATTTGGAAATTTTGTAATAGTAATAATAATTTGAATCCATTCATTTTCATAGATAAGATGGTCACCTTCTTCTTTACACCATTGCAACGATCGGGGTTGATCTAATCGTTGATTGTACATCCATAAATGAAAATCTCCATATATTTGACAGGAGCTCACTACTAATTCATCATTACGATCGATTAGAGTTGCTTGACCTAAAATATAGATTTATAATTCTGCATACGACTGTTCTAAGTAGGGAACTGCGGGTCCTTCCAGACTCGAACCCAACCGGTTCGGGTCTGGGCTCAACTTTTTATTTTCTGTTGGGTCCGATTAGACATTTTTGTGGACCTGCTGCTCCCAAGATAAGAAATACAGCAACAAAATATAACTGTACGTTGAGGTTTTTTCTGAGCGTAGCGAAATAATACCTGAAACCTTGATCCTTCACTTGTTCTTGTATACGAAGAGTGCCAGGTATTGATGGAGAAAAATCTCAGATTTGGAGCCGACCAGGTCCGGATTCACAAAAACGTGGACTCGCAGCTCCCTAGTTCTAAGTCTTTTATTAGCAAAAATTTCGAAAGATTTTCTTCTGCACAACTGTAGAAATCAGAGCCCAAAACGAACCGACCTATTCGGGTTCGATTCGACTGAAGACTCAGAAAATTGGTTCGAGTTCGGCTGTAGTGAAGACAAAAGGTCAAAGAAAGCTGGATTTGTATAGTATTATATTAAAGATTCATCTATTTTACCTTGTCTTCAACTAGCGATTCACTTGAAAGACATGAAAACACTTCTTCACGTATATTAGATAATTTGAATAAAGCTTCCTATGGAATTATTATGAAAGAAGATTGAGTTTAAGATGTCTGTATCATATGAGTATGTTTGAAGTGTTAAACTGAAATATATGTTGCAAAATCCTTTGATTTACAATAAATGTAGATCAATCATATTTCATATCTTAATCTTGCAGGGATTATGCTAACAACTTTTTTTTTATAGAATACCATAAACTTATGTATTAATGAATAACAAATAAACTTTTCTTTTTTGTGTAACTATTACTCAATATCTCTAATATTTTAAATTAGTAAAAGAAAGTTACCGTGATGCGTGATACAACACAAAATTATTATCATACAAATGCTTTTGAGAATCTGTAGCGTCGAATTCATAATGGAAATCCTAAGAAGAAAAAAAATTCAATTCAAAAATGATCCAATATATGAATATACATGAATATTTATAAGTATGTATTATTGATAAGAATTGAGTATTTAATCATTACAGCAGCTTCATCTATTAGAAGAAAAAATATAAAATATTCTCACTCATATTACTCTAAAATCTAAGCTTGATAAGTCCTATAACAACATAAAATCTTGTGGGCAATTATTTATCAAATAATTCAACTAAATATATCTTATCTTGATTAAATAAACCATTTATACCTATCTTGTTGCTTTCAGAGAAGTGGAGAATAGAAGATCCGACGATTAATCTGTAGATAGCATAAAAGCTAAGAATATAATATTATCTCATATTTATATGAAACATATGTGGGTGTGTCCTTTTTCACCCTGACATCCATAGTCATATCCAGTCAATTCAGATGGTTACCAATTGATTTCTTAATAAATTAATTAATTATAATAAAATATTATATATACAACAGATCATATTTGATTCAAACTCATTTTCAGTTATGAATCCATTCGATGAAAATGAACTAATTCATTTGAATGACTGTCTTCCCTTGAAAGTTGTCTCATCGATTTACGTTCATCATTCAAAGCTTCCTATACGACAAGAAATTTATTTAAACAAATGTATACGTAAATACTTATTATCATTTATCGATAATCATAACCAAAAAATGTTAATATTTTATTTTGATTAGACTTGACTCCATTGCATTATTTAGGGAAGTTCAAGAGATGAAATAATCTTGAAAAACATACGCAAAAAAAACGATAAGTAACTATGGCTATATTTTTTCTTATTCTGCTATTACAATGACTAATAAATAACATGCCAAAGTCAATACTTCTGATTGCATTGAATTGTCTATAGAATTTGGATTTATACTAATTTCAGCATAAATACGAAATACTTCCTTCAGAAAAAAAATAAAGATAAATGATCTGACAAGAACACAGCTCATATATTTCCATCTTTTCTACAGTGACTCGAGAATGAAATGCACAAGATAATGAAACGAAAAAAAATAATAATAAATCAGAGATATTGAATATTGATTCTTTCTTTTTATCAAAATCTTCAATTTTCTTAAGTCAATACATTAAAACATAAAGATCAAATTTTTCTAATTCGAATCCATCAGATATCTTCATTTAATTATCAATAATAAATTTTTTTTTTCAAGAAAACAAATGTACCATCGGTCTGAACTGAGCACACAAATCTGAAAACAATCTGAATTTTCTTATGCTACATGTTTCTTCGTACTAACGTTGACACTCATAACAATCATTGGTATACCAACAGATAACTATAAACATTTAGCCATTTGTTCCGAATAGAACATTCAATGGCGTTTCTTCATACTCCAGAACAGAGATACATACAAAATAGCAAAAAAAGAAAAAAGATGTTGCAAAATTTTTGCCACACTCAACAACAAACCATTTTTTAATCCCGATCCACATTGTTTTCAATAATTATTTGTCTTATCGGAAAAAAATTCTTAAAACATACGACAATAAAAATGTTCGATTATTTTTTAATGTATTTTGTATTCATTTTTTACAAGAAAAACAAAACAAAAACGATTTTATACATACAAATGATTAAAGATTATATTACATGCGAAAAAAAAATCTATAACGAACAATAATTGAATATAGAAACAAAAAATAAATATTACAAAGAGATTATACAGAGTATATAATGATATTTTTCCAAATGATTAATTCTTTTAATTTCACATAGCATAATCAATAAATTGTTTATTAAATGAAAGCTTGTCGGACAAAAAAAAAAAGAAGATTTCTAAGTATAGAAGATACATCATAAGATGATTATAGCCTTTAAAATAATAGAATACCGCGAAATGTGAGACTGATTATAAAGTTTTTTTTCTAAAAATAGTAAAGCCCTAGGTGGTTTTTTTCGCCTATCAAACTTTGTCAAGTTCTCATTGCTGATAATGAGAGTACTATAATCAAAATTATACTCAGAAATTTCATCTTTGACGAACTTTTAATGTGCTATTTGAAATTATATTTGAAAAAATATTGTTATGTACTCTGTATATATATATATATATATATATGTATAAGTTCTAACGAGATTGTTGATCTCGAAGTACTGACTAGAAAAAAGCAATGATAAAAACAAAAAAAAAAGATTTTTTTTTATGTTTCTCGTTTAAATTCATTTAAAATCGGCATTGACGTTGTTGTTGATAAAAATGAATCAAAATATGGATATGGTTGAAGAAAAGAAACTTTTGATGATGAATCTTTTCTTGATGTTGCCATTGTAATAGATGTCTTAGTATTTGAATTATTTTCATTTGAATTTGATATTTGTTGATATTTTAATAAACGTAATTTATTTTCTTCATCTGAATCCATTGATATACCTGTATGAATAGACAAATTTTTATGTTCATTTATTGGAATAACATCACAATCATTTGAATCATCAATATTATCTGTATCATCTTCTTCACTCCAAGAACTAATACCAATAGATGCTGTTTCATTTTCTGTATAACGTAGACATTTTTTCTTTCGTCTTAATGAAAACAACAAAAACAAAACTAGCAATCAAAATTTTTTAAAATAAAATATTACTTGCAATGTTTACACCAATTTGCTTGTTGATCAAGACCAAATCTAGCTCGACATTTTTTTTGATTAAGACATTCTTTTCAATAAAAAAACAACAATATAACAAATAATTTCAATAAATAAATAAAAATTTACCTCCATTTTCACCTTGATTTTTTTCACGTTTTTTTCCTTTATTTCCTCGTTTTTTTCTTACACCATAATTATCTCGTGCTGACCATCCCGGATATAATTGCATATGTTTCATACGTTCATCACGTGCCATGTCGTAATATTTTTGTTGAACATTACGATCAAGTTCATGCCACTGAAGTAAAACAAAAAAACAAAAATTTTATTTTCAATTCGTGTCGCACTACCGCGCCGTTAGAGTGACCATTAGTAGATAGCCAACCCTTTAAATATCCAACTACTTCCGATATAGCACGCATTACACCCAATGGTTTACCGAGAGTTTTTATTTGGTTCAAATCACATTCGGTCCGGCTCCAACAAATTTTAATCGGTCGGATTCGGGTCCTTAGATAACCGACCATTTAAGTATCAAACTACTGAAGGATCTACTGATGGTTTTTATCCGATTCGAATGACATGAGAAAAATTTTTTTTTTAAATTTTTACCTTTCGGCCAAGAATTTGATTAATTGCAGCACTTTCACGTAATGTACATTCTTGTACAACTTGTGCTCGTTGTTCTTTCATAAATAACATAAATGCATTTAAAGGTTTTTTTATATGAGATTTTTTTTGTTTAGTATCTTCATGAAATTTAGATTGTTGTTGTTGTTGAGGATTATTTTCTATAATACGTCGCATATATGTTGAGCGTTTTTGAAGTGATGATATTGAATGAGATGAAGAATTTTGAGATAATGGATAATTTGTTGGAAATACAAATGGAAACATAGGTGAACGCCTGAAATAAATATTTTTTTAATTAAGAATCACAGAAAAAAAAAATATATATATACCAATGTTGAGAATATGGTGATTGAAAAGATGTAGGTGATGGTAATGGATACATTGTATTGGGAATACCTTAATGGCAAAAATAAATCAACGTGTATAAAAGCTTTTATCAACATGTCTTTGAATTTATAAATGACGACATTTTATCAATACTAAGTTTGGTTTGCAGTGATTTAACCAGACGAGGGCTAAGTTCCTCTACAAACCATTAAGTTTCCTATAAGGTTCCCTCAAAAAAAGTCGCCTTTCGTCGGAATCATCGAAATTGAGATAAATTCATGAAGACATAGCCCGTCATTTTTATTCAACACCCCTTTTTTTCCCAAAAATTTTGAAAGATTCTCGCCACCCCTTATTCGAAAAACAAGCCATTTTTACAAACAATCGAAAATTATTTTTCGTTTTTCTTAGAAGGTAGGTTCAACGACGTAACTCCAGCAGAACTCTATCATAGTAAAAGATAAAATTCGTATAAGAAAACATCTCCATAAAAAACTGCCATTTTTTTAGGGGTTTTTTAAATCATTAAACTCGTCATCCCTTTTCTTCGCTTAAGAAATAAGAGTTTTTAAAAAAAGGGCCACGAGAGAGCCTAGCCTTAGGCATAAGCTTTCAAACAAAAAAAATTTAAATGTATAAAATGAAGACCTACAGAGAAATTTTGGAGATACGATCGAGCTATTTTTGACTCTTGTTTGGTGAATATATCTATCAAACGTCATGATATAGGGCTGAAAGTTTTACCATAGTCATCGCTCACCAGTTCCAACATATTCTGAAAGTTTCATGCAATTTGGATGTTCATGAACTGAGATCGATTTTGGGGGGGGGGGGGGGGAAGTGGTCTTGAAAACGGACTTGAGCTCCCCGCTCAACACGCCACTATTTTGTTGACAGAAGTATAAGCCAATGTCTTAATCAATGGTGACGACTTACACCTCTATATATTGAATACATCTTCAATACCAATTGCTAAATTTATCTCAAGAGACTTCGCAAAACTTTAAAAATCACTTGAAATTTCTGTAAGATTCAAAAAAAAAACACACACACTGCCTATTATATAACAATAGGGAACAGTTTTCTATTTTTAAAATTCTTTTTCTCAATGTATTTATTAATAGAAAAATAGCTTCATTAAAAACAAAATTATAAATTATCGTACGGAAGATCCAAGGAGACAAAACTGAATAGTAGTAATCAATCAAAGTCTTCATGCATGTCGAAAGATATAGTATATACATATACTAACACCAAATTAGTTTTTGTTTATGATATTGTATTTCTTCTTAGAATTATTCTTTCGAAATATAGATAATTTTGTATCAAAAAAGATTTTTATCTTCTAAATTATATAAATATTTCTATGATCAATGAAAATTTTTATAGAAAAACTTTCATTCATATCTTAAATGTTTATATAATGTAAGAAATAAATCATTGAATATATCATTATTATTTATTTATATCAAAAATGTGATTTTAACTTTTAAAATTGTCAAATTTTAAATATGATTCTATTTATATATGTTTAAAATAAAAAAAGAAGAAATTTTTAAAATAGAATATATGAATAATTTAACTATGAATATATCTCAATTAAGATCAAAGAGAAGAAAAAAAAAAACTCTTTTTTTGTTTTGTTTTAAGTGTAATGCGCACGAATTGTCTTTATTAAAAGCAAAAAATAAATAAATTTTTGTTTAATAAATATAGACAATTATCGGACGCGAATTTTCTTCTCTTCCACTTTTTGGTTTCTCATATATCAAATTGAACATTCTCTTTTATTCTATCGTTCATATTCATTGTCTTGTATCTCGTTAACAAGATCATTTTCCACTTTGTTAAACGTCAACTAACGACATGTATGTCTATTAGTATTGCATGAATAATCACGCTTGTTTACTAGTTAAAGACCACCTTTTTTGTTCTTACAATTGATCGATTTTCTTTTTTTTTTTCTTTTTTTGGTGATAAATATAGAAAGAAAGATTGATCTAATGAAGTACTAAATGTATTTCCTTTTTTCTTTTTTCTTTTTTTGATTGCTTCGTCTTCCCGATTGACGAACGGATAGTGTTGACTAATAAATTGATTTACATCTATTCATCGAGTGTGTGAAAGCGAGACGTTTGTTTTAAAGTATAATGTCATGAAGAATTCATAATAATAAATGATTAACCTCTTTCTTTTTTTTTCTCTCTCTCTCTATATGTATGTGAAGAGTTCGAGCACACGAGCAACTTCACCTCATCATAAAACAATTAGTGAACAAATATATATGTCGAATGAGAGGAGAACAAAAAAAAGAAAAGACAAAAATGTCAGTATTTTCTAAATCATATATAGACTCACTTACCTGTATTTTGGTCAATGCCTAAATTGGAATTAGACATATGAGCCGGTGGTGGAGATATGAATTTTGATAGAGATTCTAATGAAGCCAATTTGTCCTAAAAATATAATTTTCAATTAATATTGAAATAATTTAATTGATGTTAAAAATTCATTGTTGAGAATATTTCAATGGCGCAATCGAAATTTTCAGCTTAGATTAAACGTAACTATATGTTAATTCGTGCGCAATAGGTTCTTCTCTTTTATTCTCTACATTTAAAACGGATATATTAAAAACATTCACTTGATTAATTTTTTTTTTTTGTTACTCGAATTTCTCTTTATTTTCAATAGAGATAACCTTTGATGCTAATCAAATTTTCTCTATTTCAATCATGAAATAGCTCAATATTGTATGGTTATCTTGTTTTTTTTGTTTGTTTGACTGAACTATACCACAAATGTTAAATCAATAGATAACTCTTCTTCTTTTTTTTTTCTGTTGATCATTCAATAAAAAACTTACAAAAGATTGTGTTGCATTACTTGGATGATAATATGGTGAAATAAAATATGGAAAAAAACTATGTAATTGTTGTTCACTGTTCAAACGATCTTTAATACAAAAACAAAAAGAGCAATAGTTTAATTTATAAAACAAAAAAAAATCTTTCAAAAATAGTTACCAGTAAGATTTGTTGTTGATGATGTTTGTTGTGGTGATGACTTAAAGACAAATATTTTGATTTTAAATGATATTAAAAAAATTTTTTCTTTTACTTCTTCTTCTTTAATAACAGGTGAAAGTCGATCATTATCTTCATCACCATCAATATCAATATCTTCTTCATGTTTTTCACATTCAAAGATTTTAACTTCATCATTATCTATTATTGAATTATTACTACTACTACCACTACCATCAGGATCAGAAGTAGTTAATAATGATGAAGAATTATCAATTGTTGTTGCTTTTATTGATAACATTGATCGTTTCGATGAAGATTTTATTGATAGATCAAGTGTTAAATCAGTTGTATTAGACTAAAAATAGAAAATCTTTGATTATAAAAAAAAAAAAACAAGCGGACCTACAAAACAACCCTAGTTCAACAAAGAGAACTAGTCCGACAGAAGGATCATTTTCTCTCTCTCTCTCTCTCGTTTTTTCTGTCGTAAAAATAGATGGTAAAAAAAAAAAGAAAGAAAAACTTACTATAAAGATATTTGTCGGCATTATTAATTATATTCTTTAACTATCATCATTTGATTGTTAGATATTAAAATACTAAAATGAATGAGTATCAGTTAAAATTAATTATAAGAAGAATCTTATAATGAAAGAAATTTCTTTTTCTTTATTTGTAATCTGACAAAATTATAAGAAATTGAAGAGTTTATGAGGTTTTTACTTGTAATAATGATGATGATCATCATCATCATAAATAGAAAGGTTAGTGTTAGAAGAAAAAAAAAAAAAAAAAGAAATAACAATTGAATTATACGATGGCCTTCATATGAAAATGAAGTGGCGGGCACCTATCAAAACTGACCAACATTCATTATTCTTTTCTCTATAGTATGCATGCAACACACACTCGCGTTGACCTTCAATGTATTGTATTAGTATGTTTATCCAAAGAACAGACAAGTTAACAGCGGCGTCCATTGGCCAGCACACGAATGAGAGAGAAAAAGAAAAGAAAATTTTGTTCTTTCATCTCTATTCTTTTCGATATATACATGAGCGTTTTTCTTCTCGTTATTTTTTTTTTTGCTTTTCAGTCATACATTAATTATAAAAAAGAGATTAGAAAATCAATATAGTAGAAAGAACAGAAAAAAAAAAGTCGAGGCATTTTATAGAGATATCCATAGTACATCGATTTGGTCTTAGTTGTCACACGAAACATTTCAACTCACTCAATCGAAGCTGCATCTAGGAGGGAAAACTCGAATTTTAGAACAACGTAAAACGTCATTTTTTTTCAATATTTCCTGTTTTTCATGCATAGCCATCGATTAATACGTTTACAAAACGATTAGGAGAGGTCACACCACTGACTCATAGATGAAATAACTGTATTAGTATAGATCATTTACAACGCGAAAGAACCGTAGAACGTCATTTTTTCTTTTGTATAGGGAGATCTCTAAAGTTGATTTTTTTCTAAGAATCTAAATCACAATGAAAATTTTTCGTTCATATCCTATTCGATAGAGGACATTTAAATATCTTTTTAAATACAAAAAATCGAAAACAAAAAAGTGAATTTTCAGAGTCGGTGCCCTCTTAAGAAAAAATTTTGCATGGTTTTTGAAAAATATTGTTAAGAACCGTTTTTTTTTCTATATAGTAGCAAAACACCACAAGTATGGATTTGTATTCTAAGATTTTGACAAACAACATATAAAAAACTTTGAAAAGGAAAAATGTCGACGTGCGAAATTCTGGCTAGCGAAGAATATGCTTTATTGTATGAAATAGTACTAACATTCTAACATCGATCAAACATAAGTCAAGTGATAAAAAAAAAAGAAAAAATTTATAAAGTGTCATTTTTTGTTTTTTCGTTTAGCAATTGTAAATGATAAACTATCTAAGTATTCTATAGCAGTTATAATGCCATCATAATATCGTTCATCAAGTTTATCGATACAATATTGAATTGCAATGGAATAATTGGTGATTTTAGTTGAGTTAAATCTGGTGAAAATGAAGCAATTGCAACTATGACAACAGAATTTTAGTTGTACAATACTTCTTTGTCCGACTCTTTTAATGAATCTATATCAAGTATTACTCATTACTATTACTACTGATTATAAATCTAGATTAGTAGAATTTATAAGAAAAACAAGAATGAATTATAGATGCTTAGTAACATCATTTTTCCAGCACACCTAATAGTATACTCAATACTGAAAACTAATTTTCATTAAATTTCAACGTTACGGAAAAGCACAGATTAAAAAGTTATAATATATATATATCGACTTCTTTTTGAAATATGTTTTATTCTATTATAATTTTGTGTGAAAACTGTTATTCATATAGTTTTTTTTTCTTTCTTCTTCAATCTCACTTATATTCATATTCGAAATCTGAAATTCACCCATGATTCAATGAATGGTATCTAACATCATACTGAACATGAAGCAACAACCAACAAAAACAGAATTAATACATTTCAGCCCTCATCCAAAGAAGAAATACAAGAACCCAGTAGTAATTAAAATAGAGGATAGAATTTTAAAATCACTTGATTCAACAAGATATTTCGGTGTAATCATAGACAAAAAGCTAAATTGGAAAAGTTACTTAAGTCATATTGAATCAAAAACAGCTGATCGAATTAGTCTTCTCTGTTTCTTATCAAGATCAACACCTGAATCTAATGATAAAATTATATTGAACATATACAAAGCAATAGCAAGAACCATCATCATATATGGCTTTTCAATTCTACTCACAGTAAGTGATAAGATCTGAGAATGATTACAAATTTTACAGAACAAAACTATTCATACTGCTCTTAATCTACCATCATATACATCTGTTAAATATATTCACAAAATTAGAAACATTCCAAAGATAAAACAATACGCAACAACATTATTAAATTTAATTATTACAAAAACCCAATCGAATAATGAGAATAAAATAGAGGCATATCTTAAAGATATCCTTAAAGAATTATAACATCAATTATACATTATCTGCAATACGAACATAATTCTTGAGACATAAGACAATAATCATGCGTCTTTCCTTATATCTCAACCTTTACTACATGCTTTGTTTTGATTATTGTTAAATAAAGGCTTTGAAATGCAAAAAAAAACCTGAAATTCATTATTCATGATTGAATCTAATTCAGTTTGATATGAGAATTATTTTGCGAAAAAAGTAAAATTTCTGAATCTTACAATTTAGTTTATGTTTGGAAAATTAGTTATTCGAATAGTTTTTTTTTCACAATACCAAGTGCCTTGTTTAGTTTGGAAAGGCTTAAGATTCATAAGAGCATGTACGGTTGGTATTCTCAAAACTCCGTGCTATTTATTAGTTACAGTTGAACACCGGCGGTGCACTTATTACTAGTAAAAGTTAGATTAGAAATTATAATCAAAGTCATAAAAGTTCGAATCTAGAAAAATATTATAATTCGGGAAAAATATCGAAATTCTGAATTTTTCCTGTCATTTCGGAAGACGTGGTAACCCTACACTAAGGACCAAAGTTTGACAAAAATTAGTTTTAAGTATTAAGTATACTATTCAATGCAGATTTTTGCACCGATTCTGAATATGATATTCATTTCTTTCACAACTAAAATTCTGATTGGCAAAAGCTCAGAATATAAATTCATATTTATGACGTTATGTTATTATATCAAAACAACTTCGTTCTTAACAATATTTTTCAAAAACCATACAGAATTTTTTTCCTAACTATATGACGAGTAAAATCAAAAAATAAATTCGGATAAATATTGATGCTACTGAGACTTAATGCTTTTGGCGTATTTCAATTCTGATATTTTTTATATCTAATTTTCGTCAAGCATTATCTGAATATGTTAAAAACAATATTTCTATCGGTAACTCGACGTGTCGATCGGTGACGACGACGGTGGCTTACAGTCTTTACTTACACGATAGCTGGAAGTTTCGAGACTGAATAATGCTTTAGATAGTAAGAAATGCTTGTTTATTTCAATATCTGAATATTAACAGTTTCAAACAACTAAATGAAACGAGTGTATTTCACATGTTAGTTTAGTCAGGACATTAGATTTAAGTAATATGAAGATAAGTGATGAATTGCTAAAGAATTTTGCCTGAAAGTAAGAGATCCAGTGCTTCTAAGAATGAAGAGACTTAATTGATATATGTCAAGATGCTAAAAAAACTTGTCCGTTTTAATTTTCAATGATAGAAACTGAAAAACGATCTCTACGAAACATTAGTTTTGATTCATGTCCGAGCTGTTGTTTTAATTCTGCAGCTTTTGTTGTATAGTGGAATTATTGTTTTAGTGCAGTCAGTGACTTTATTAGAGTAAAATGACTTTCATTGGAATTCTGAAAATTCGTTATATCGAGTGATAGATTCAGATACAAATAAAAATTAAACCACTAATATTAATAAAAGATTATTCCAAATACAGAGTATAACTTTTTCATACACTTAAACAATCGAAAAGATTAAGAAGAGATTTCACAACTCAAACATAAACGAAAATAGATAAGAAAAACTTCCGATTTTCCCATTTAGATGTCGATGGCAGCGGCTGAAACTTTCAAAACTTTTTGTTCGTAATGGCGGTGGAGTGGCTACATCTATTGTTGCTCAGTGGCGATGGCTAAGAAATTCTGGAAACTTTCGTTACCACCTTGGGGGCTTAGCCACACGACTTACACTTCTATTTACAATTGTTTATTATTATCCATGCTTTTTTTCAGAATGAGTTTAAATAATCTTTATTTTAGCAAAAAAATATGTTCATTATTTCCATTCGCTCCACACGGTTCAATTGATGTATCTTATCGTCATTTTTTATTGATACAAATTACTATTCTAACTGAAAGAATATCTCGAAATGGTACTTTCCTATTATCCCGATCATCGTCAACACACACACCCTCACCCTGAGGTGATCGGGATAACAGGAAAGTACCGGAAATAATAGAAAAAAGCGACTTTTATGCTTTTCTTAAGGTTGATGTATCTCGATCAAAAAATGTCGTAGAGAGCTGGAAACCATTTCGCTGTGTACAGAATTGTTTGCTCTAGCATTCTAAGGAATTCAAACACAATTTTATTTTCGAATTCTTGAAGTTGAAAAATTTGGTTTTTTAAAGACTCGATCCATGAAAGATTCTTGTTAGTAATAAGATTCTCTATTCAATTGACTATTTGAATACTTCTTAACGTTTATAGTAGTATAAAAAAATAAATTGAAAATAGATCAAGTCTAATAAGAGTTGAGAGCCATTGTATATACAATCATACTAGTTGACTAACAATAATAAAACGATAAGATCAATGTTGATTCAGTAAGTATTTAACTTGTAATATTATGTATAGATTTTGAAGTCTAATTTTTATATACAATAAAACATAAAGATTAAAACAAATATTATTTTCAAGGTTGATGTTAAATTTTTTATAAATATAATTGCATGCTTTTGATACTTTTTGCTTTAAAAAAAAAGTCAAAAACTAGAATCATATTAATCATTAGTTCTGTTCACTGATCAATAAAAAGAAAAAAAATTATCAACATTATTAAATTTATTTTTTCTATCAATTATTTGTTGATATAAATAAAGAACATTACCACCTTGTTCACATTCATGCACATAGTAAATATATACTTTAATGTCTGACAAAAGTTTATTTTGAAGGAAATTTTTTATCATTTCATGGACATATATTTCGATAATTGCGTATTTTAATATTATATACATAGAAACTAAAGAAAAAAATAACAAAAAACCAAAAGAAAACGAATACATATATGTGAGATCGTTTTCAAATTAAACATCGATGACTGTGACCATGTATGGTATACATAGATTTTTATAAATATACATCTTATATTTCATATAAATATATACAAATTATTTGAATTACACTACAAAAAAAAAAAAAATCCAAAATGAGTAATAGTTTCTTTTCTTTGTCTTTTCTTATGAAATATAATTGACTGATTACAGATGAACATCCTTCATATAAAGTCAACTGTTGTCTGTCATCTGTTTATTATCATCCTATTGTTTGTAATACTGTACAATGCTAGAAGGATACATCAACAGGTGTTAGATTCTTTTATTTGATGATATAATCGATAGTAATCAATGATACAATATTAGCTTCTGTTCATATAAACATATAGGTACTCATTATTAGTATTGTCATCATTAACAAAACATTCATACTGACATACATAAAGACAAGAAAAAAAAAACTTCTTGTTAAAAAGGCAACAATTTTTTCTTTTAATGGTTACAAGTAAGTGTAATCAGTAGATATCATAAACGATAAATTATTTTAGCGTTATTATTCTTCTTACATTTGTAGTTGTCTTACATAAGAATGCCTGAAATAGTTTGAATTGTTTTTGTCTGTATGAAAGGAATTTTTATAATTATCGAACTAGATGATTGTAACATTTTTTCGTTAGTATAAATCTGAAGCAAGAAGATTCCACTATAATTTATCCATAGAAAGAATTGTATAATACATTTTTGTTCGACCTTGAGATAATCACTAGTTTGACTGTGGTCATTTTTAGTTTTTTTCAAAATTATACTTTAGATCATTCTTTATTCTTTTCTTCAACAATAGTTTTTCTTCTATATTTATTGCAGATTAAATTATCAAAATACAAAAAAAAAATCTTTATCATATGAAAGAGTTTAGGTGCATAACTAGTCTCATATCAGATTCACAACGAATGTATATTGACATTATAGTAGACAAAAGAGAAAAAGCAGTACAAGATAGAAGACATAAAATATAAAAAAGAAAAGGTCTCTCTTTCCCTCTCTCTGTTTCTCTCTCTCTCTCTCTCTCTCTCTCTTTGGGTGTCTTATAGTCAACAGTAGTTTCATAATAATTGATTATTTTTTTTTTTACAGTTGCTATGATATATAAAGATTCTATTTCATTATCTGTTACTACTAAGAATAAGACGATAAAAAATGACAACATTTATTGTCCTTCTTTTGCGGCTTTGAATGACATGATCGAGAGCAAATGATGATAGGTATATATCCTTGTTGGCTTGATATATATTCAATGTTTGGTAACTTGAGTATATCCTATATGTTACATACATATGCAACTGTACAAAAAACAGACATCATATCTTCTTCTCTTGATTGACTTATATTAGAACAAAAAGATAAGTGAGTTAAATATGATTGAATGTATCTCTTTTTTTTTTCTTTCTTCAACATTGAGCCTTCAACTTGTCTGTGATTATTATTAGCAGCAAAAAAGAATAAAAAAGAATAAAGAGTATAAAATTCTTTAAGATAAAACATCATAAAAAGAAAAGATATGAAACTAAACTCATAAATCGACAAAAGAATTTATTTATTTATTTATTTATTTTTTCTTTTCTTTTTTTTGTCATTGATTTTACTTTAACAACACCATTCTTTATTATCAATTGTTCAATTGATTAAAACATTCTATCAATACTATAATGTGTATTCTGGTAAAATGACATAAATTTGATTGAGTTTTTTTTTTTTATTACTTTACTATTCGGATTAAACGATCACCTCCAAACCGACACTCGTATATATATTGATATTCTGTGATAAAATAACGATAGAAGAACGCAAAGTTCTTAACCACATACAATATAGAAGAGAAAAAAAAAACCGAAACGAAACGAAATATTTTGTAATTGTTATTATTATTAATGTATTGTCAAATTTGTTTAAGTTTTTATTCATTAATGAAATAAATAATTTTATTTTAAGATGATTTTTTTATTGTCTTATTTAATGAAATCTATATTAAATTTATTATGAATTCATTAATATTTGATTCAATTTGCAATCAAGAACAATCAATAACAAATCTTGTTAAAATTCATCCACTTACACAATTACTTCAACAAGATTATGAACAATTATTAAAACAATCTTATTCAATATCTTATTATCATCAAAATATTGATCGAGATAAAGCTGAACAATTATTAAAAATAAAATATATTAATTCAACATGTGATGGTTTATTTTTATTACGTGATTGTTCAACATCAACATATGATTTTAGTTTATCAATTATTCATAATAATAAATTTTATCATTATAAAGTACAACTTATTTATGATATTTATTTTTCTATTGGTAAAAATTCAACAAAATTCAAATTATTTCTTTCATACATTTCTTTTCTTTTTTGTTTTTTTTTTTACTATGATAGATTCTGGTCCACAAATAGCTGGTATAGAAAATCTAATACGTTATTATCAAAAATGTGCTGATGGTCTTATTTGTTGTTTATCTAATGAATTTATACAAGGTCAACCACCCCCACTTACATTACGATCTATAGGTCTAACAAATACATTACATCGAGCATGTCAACAAGGTAATTATAATATTGTTAAAAAGATTCTTTCAACAGAATATTCTATTCATCGACCTGATGTTAATGGAAAAGATTCACAGGGTTCAACAGCATTACATCAAGCAAGTTATTTTGGTCATGATGATATTGTACGATTATTAATTATAGCAGGATGTCATATACTTGCACGTGATATAAATGGTGCAACAGCTTTACATCGAGTAAATAAAATTAAAGTAACACAAAAAAAAAAAAAAAAAAGTTCGAATTTTATTTTAGGCTGCTGCTGGTAATCGTCCATCAACATTACTTATTTTAATTCATGAAGGTTTAGCAGATTATGAAGAACGTAATTATATAAATGATTGGGTTCCATTACATGAAGCTGCTTTTTATAATTCAGCAGCATGTATTCAAATTTTACTTGATTGTGGTGCTCCACTACGTCCACGTACTGATCATGGAAAAACACCTCTTGAAATAGCTGAAGACGCTAAATCTGATGAATCAATAATTATTTTACGTCAATATAAAACTCCTCCAGCTAAATCATGTCGTATTGATTGGTTACATGATCAATTAAATTTTGATCGTATAGTAGCAAAACAATTTCTTGAATCAATTCCTAATGGATTTACAAATGGTATGTTTCTTGTTCGTCGTAGTTCAACAAATTTAAATAATTATGCTTTAACACTTTATTATGATAATGAATTTTTTAATTTTGAAATTATTTATCTTAATGAAACAACATTTTATATTGATGATGGACCTTTTTTTGATTCACTTGAACATTTAATTGATCATTATTGTCGAATACCTGATGGATTACCAACAACATTAACATGTTCAGTTAATAGATTAAAAGAAATTATTCCAAGTCGTATTCAACCATGTACAAATAATCAGACTAAAGGTAAATCGTGAAAGTCGAATTATTAGATTTAAATCTAATAGAGCTCATTGGTTCCAAGAATTTTCAGATTCGGACCTAGTCGACTCAAAATTTTTAGACCCAGACTCTACTCATAGACATATAAGGAAAACTTATTTATGAATTTCGACTGTAGAGACAGATCTTAACAAGAATAGTTTATGGTGAAAGTTTCTGATCTTTTGATTTGCTTCTATTTCGAAATGAGAACATCAAATGTGCTGGTATATATGAATGAAGAAAGAGCTTCCGTACTTCAAGGATATGTTAAAGCAATCTTCTTGAATTTTTCCGATCTTTTTTTTCAAGTCTTCTATCAATATGTGTCACGAGTATATTGGTTTTTTTTAGTTCATTTTATATAAGTATGTAGAGCAGCAAAATTCAAATACTTCGTTGATATTCAAATCTTGAAATACAATGAAATATTTGAGGTTTGCTACTATACAGAATTATATAAAATGAACTAAAAAAAAAAAGAATATGCTCGTGACACATGTTGATAGCAGACTTTAAATAGCTAAGAAGTTCTAGAAGATGAAATGTGAGATATTCTTAGAGTACGAAATTTTCTCCTTGGATATGAGCTATTTAAGAGACAAGCTTTTATCATAGGTGTATCTTAGAATAGCAACAACGAAATGATCTAAAACTTTCACAATAAGTTGTTCTCGATGAGATCAGTCTCTATGAAAAGTTTCAAGTCGAAGTTCGAAAATAAATCTTCTTTCCTAGTGTTCCTGGAAGTCTTGACAAAAAACATACCGTAAAAATGCAATATATTGACAATAATAAGCTAAGAATCCGAACTCTTCTCAGGGTATTCATCATCCATAATACACGTATTTCAGACTATAAAGTGAGATAAATCATTTTCATCTATAAATATGTTTCTTTCGATTCGACTCACTTCATCATAGTTCAATGAAGATAATATGTTTATTATGTACTTCCAAAAAAATATTATATTCAATTTTTAGCTCAGTCCATTTGATAGTTTATAATTGTGATTCATCTTCATTTCAAGTGAGATTTATCAAAGATAGTCAATACATTGATTATGCTGTTGATAAACTCAAGACAAATGATAATGTTCGAGTCGATGATCGGAGTTCGATTGCATTGATTCCAACAACTGTTCGATAGGATTCAACCGAAATCATTTGTATTCGACTGAGACGATTGCACCTGAGATTTCATAGGATTAAGTCAGTCCAGTAAAACTATACAGGCTGTTAGTATACAACATGTAAAAAGTATGGAGACCTTCTAATCAAAGTGTAGATTCATTGATTTAAAGAGATGAGCTCTATGCAAGATTGATATTTCTCTTCAAAGGTACTCGTTCTTAGCTAATCAAGATAAAATTGACCGTTTTAGAAAATTTCGTAAAGCATTATTTTTGCAGCATTTATTATCAATAATGATAGTTGAAAATATAAAATTGCTTCTTTGATATATGATAAATAATAATTAGAAAATGTATTTTTGATTTCATTATATTTTTATTGTTTAGATATTTCAATAGTTTTAAAAAATAATTTAATACATCAAACTAGTGTTGATGAAACAAAAATTCTTACTAATACTCAATTATCATCATCAATTCATCGTTCGAAAATTTTTTCTTCTTTAAATAGTTCTATAACTTCTCTTAATTCATCATCATTATCATCTCGTTCTCGTGCTTCATCAATACAAGACAATTCATTATCAAATTCATCATCTAGTGCGTCACTTTCAGGTCATAGTCCATCAAAACAAATTATATCAATAATTCAACATGAAAACTCTTTAAAAAATGTAAATTTATTTGTTGATCGACGTAATATTGTTGGTGGAAAAATAAAGCCATATATACCTGAATATCAAACTGAAATAACACATTATCAATTTACAATACCAATAAAAGCAACAGAAAAATCTAAATCTTTAAAATTAAATCTTATTTCACCAGATCAAATTCAACAAACAGCAAAATTAGGTAATATAAGAAGAAGAAGAAAAGAATAAAAAAAACGAATTAAATAATAAAATAGTTTATTTTAATAAATATTTAGGTGAAGGGGAATTTGGTGAAGTTTATGAAGGATTTTATCGAGAAAATTCTACAACTATACCTGTAGCAATAAAAGTTTTAAAAGATTATTCATATACAGCTAAAAAAGATTTTCTTCGAGAAGCTGAACATATGTCAAAATTAAATCATCATTGTATATGTAAATTATATGGTATTGTAGATTCAAATAATAATGATATGATGATGATTATTGAATTACTTTTATTTGGTTCAATGCTTGATTATTTATGGAAATATAGATCATCAATAAATGAATATCGATTAAAATTATGGGCATCACAAATTGCTGATGGAATGAAATATATGGAATATAAAGGTATTATCCATAGAGATTTAGCAGCAAGAAATATACTTTTACAATCGACTGATCAAGTAAAAATTAGGTAAAATTTAAAAAAAATGAGAGAAAAAAAAAATAATTGATAGATAATTTAATTTATTTTAGTGATTTTGGTTTATCAAGATGTATCGATACAGATGTTTATGTACAAAAATCAGATAGTAAAATTCCAGTTAAATGGTATAAAATTAATCATAATAGAAATCATTAATAAATATTTCATATTTATAGGTATTCACCAGAAGCAATAAGTTTTGGAAAATTTACTTCAAAATCTGATGTTTGGTCTTTTGGTATAACTCTATGGGAAATGTTTTCTTATGGAGGAACACCTTATGGTTAGTTTTATGCATTTGTTTTTCTTTTTGTTTTTTTTTCTGTAATCTAAATTAAAATTGATTTTTATCTTAGGTGATATGAATGGTAGTGATGTTTATTATTTTTTAAAACATGGAAAACGTTTAGAAAAACCATCATCTTGTCCATCACATATATATCAAATAATGCTTAAATGTTGGGAATGGGATGAAAAACAACGGCCAACATTTTATCAACTTTTTCAATTATTAAAAAATGATTATAATAATCATCAATCAAATACAATAATAAAACAATCTATGTTAATAAATGATTTTATGAATGAACAATATGGAACAGATCAGAATAATCATGAATCAACAACACTAAAATTTTAATCAATGAAAACAAAAAAAAACGCCAAAAATTCTTTTTTAGTCCGGATAATTTCTTTTTTTTTTTTTTATTACTTCAAACCGGTTTTTGTTTTACCTGTGAATGTTTGTGTGTGTGTGTGCATATATTTATATGTATCGATAGAAGGTAATACAAATTAATATTTAGAAGTTAAAAAAAAATTAAGTTTTTTTTTTTTTATTTGTATGGGAAATAAATTTAAATATTTTGTTAATTAATCATATTGATAAATTTACATTTGATAAAAGAGTTAATAAAAAAAACAAATGAATTCTTATCCGATATCTATTGGGTATTCCTTTTTTTTTTTCGTCTATCGAATATGTTAAAACTTGCTTGATAGCAATATATGTATATAGTAGATCATGCAAGCATTCATCTGATAGTTAATTTCATTTGCACCATTGAACTGAATACAATGATGATAATAAGAAAAAAAAAGAATAATTCGACAAAGAATAATCGTTAGTCATTGTAAGTGTCTTTTTTTTGCCCTATATTCATATTTACATGAGTTTTATCTCTTTATAAATTCGATAATTTTTTCAATTGTAATCATTAGTCTTCGTTTGGTTTTTTGTCGAACTGTTATATTATTTCCATTACAAAATTATTATCAATAATATTATTAAGTGCATATATTCATTTATAAAAAGAAAACTCACAGCAATCATTTCATTGTTATCATATTGTATTTTGTTTTGACATATATCTTTCAACGAGACTATTTTTATCTTCATGTTTTTGTACTATATACGTATATATAAACAAACTAATTATTATAGTTTACATGACATGCAAGAGAAATGAAAAACAAAGAGTTCATAGCATAAATCCTTCAATAGGAAAATAATTTTCTTCTTTTTTTCATCATACACTAACAATATACTTTTCTTTCTTTCTTTCTTTCTCTTTTTTCTTCCATTACTGATCTTGAAGATGGCTCAATCCAATCATGTCAACAATATTGTATATTGACAGAAATCTTAGTTCTTTTTTCAGATATGATATTTGAACAACCTTTGATATTGATGACATAAATCACTGTAGATACTAACATTGTTGAGTAAGTATATTAATATATAGGAAAAGTACAATGTATCAATATTGTATAATAACATATGCTTGATATTTATAGAGTATAATTCTAATGCATGATCTTCAACGATTACATTCAACTGAAATACTTTTCGAAGATCAAGTAACATTAAGTGATGGTCGTTCGAAACCTTATCTTGTTTTACTTCAATTAACATCGGAATCGTTAATTATTCGACCTCAAAATACAAATCAAATATCATCATTAAATAATGAAGATATTACAGTACCAAGAAATGTTACCATTGAAAGACATCCAATTACACGTTCATTTGGTTTTTCAATTAAAGGTGGTTGTGATACTGGTAAATGAATCATATTCGAATCATCATTTTTTTTCTTTTTTTTTTATAAAAAATCTTTCTTAATAGGTTTTCCTATTCTTATTTCACGTGTTCGTGATGTTAATGCTCATTTATTAAATATTGGTGATGCAATTTTAAATATTAATAATGAAGATATATCTGATTTAACTCATGATCAAGTTATTACGAAATTACGAAATATATCTAATAATCAAGTTAATTTAACTATTAAATATATGAATAATATGGCTATATATTTATTTTTAACATCATCTAAATCTAGAACATCAAAATCAATAATACAGAATGGTTTAAAAATACGAAAATTATCTTCAACTAAAATTAAACAAGATCAAAAATATCGATCAAAAAACTATTCATCTAAATATCATGATTATGCTAAACAACAATGTTTCCAATTGACAATATCACATCAACAAAAAGTAACAAAATTGAATTGACATTTCAATATTATAAAGACTCGATAATTAAAAAGTCTAAGTTTAATCGATAATCCGAATGAGAATAGACAAAAGCGACAAAAAAAATTGATAGTTCAAGCGAAGAATGTAAACACCATCTTAGCCATGAAAAATTCTCATGTTTTTCCAAGGAAGTACCGAATGACAATGATCTATAGCAGAATTTTCCAAAAATTACATGAATAAGAAGTGTCTAGTTTTATCTATTTGGTTTCTGAGTAAGTGTATGATTACTTGCAGCTCCATGAATCGTAAAAGCTGAATCAAACAGCTAGTAATCATCTCTTTTTATATAAGTGGATCAGCTCCGTTTTTATAAGCTTTGTTTGATGATCGATTTGCTCTATACGAGTCAAATTATTGTATGCTCCATCTATTCTATCCAATTACTTTTTCAGAACTCTATTTTAGATTATGTAAGCTGAGTTGTACAAGTGAGTTGAATTAGAAGAACTGTCATAAATATATTGCATACAATACAATGAAATTTTCAGAGAAATCCAAGTACATATAAAAAGAACCAACCACTAGATCAGTTAGTCGATATGAAACTATCATACATCTAATTCCTGAGTTTATCCATCTTCATTCAATTATGAAAAAAAAGTTAGAACATTTAAATATCATTGCTCTTATATTTTTGAGAAATACAATGTTTATTGTTTGTTCGACTCTGATAAGAATTTATTATTTTATAGAATAATAATAATAATAATAATAATAATAATAATAATTCAACAATTGATGATACTAATATTCAAGAATATTCTCTTCTTTATGCATATATTAGTCGATATTTAAATGGTACAGATGAATGCCGTATAAATGCCTTTCAATTACATACACTTGATGGTTCTCAAACAGGTATTATTATAACTAATACATCTACTCAACAAAACATATGGATATCACGTATAAATACAGTTATACGTAATTTAACAACACGTACAATAACTGATCTAAATCAAACATTATTACCAAGTGAACAAGTATTTTATGCTACTTGGGTTCATGAACAAATCATTTATCCTAATGAAAATCATATACCCGAATGGAAAGCTATATTTATGGTTTTTAAAGGTAGTGATCTTTATATATTTGATGATAATCAATCTCCACCATTATGTGCTTATGATTTTATATGTTGTACACGTGTATATCCAATAATTGAAGTATTTATTGAAACTGTCGCATTTAAACGGTCAAATGATGATCGTCGATATTGTTTTACATTAATATTACCAAATGATTTAACAAATGAATATCGTTATTTAAGTTTAGAAAGTAAAATTGAGTATGATGATTTCATATTAAATTATCAACGATCACTTTATATATCTACGTATTCAATTGAAAATCGTACATTTGGTTGTATTTATCAAGGACAAATATGTCGTTTAATAATTGATATAAATAAAGGTTTTGAAATGTATAATAATAAAACAAATATTATTTTATGGATATTTACATTTGAACAACTTTTATCAAGTTCTGATAATGGACATGATAAAATATATTTTCAATTTAAACCTAATTTAATTTTAAATAAAAATGAAAAAATTATACATATTGAAGTACAATGTCAACATTTAAGAATACTTATACATGTAATTAATGCATTTTTAACTGTTAAATTTATTGGTCAACAAAATAATCTAATTGATTAAATTAAAATCTATCTAATTTAATTATTTCAGAAACGGAAAGAAACTTTCCAAAAAAAAAAAACAACAAAGCCGATTACAATATAATTGATTTCAAACAAGTTTTAAAAAAGAATGTATATAAGATTATCTTGTCTTCTGGTTTGATTTATTTAATATGAACTTCAATAACAGTTTTTACTGTATAGCAACAATCGAACACATATATTATATACAATAGTTTATAATATTATTTAACTAGTTTTATTTTCAATTTTTTTCCTACTACTATAAATCTTAGATAAAAATGACTATTCGAATTCTTTGTAGAATTTATGATAGTAGAAAAAAAAATTGAAAATAAATCTGATCAAATAACTTTGATAACTGTTGTATTAAATCAAAAAGTTCTTTGGAATTAATGTTTTTTTAGATAAATTCTTTCGACCAAATGAATCACGTATGCCAACAAAAATCTATATTTAAAATGTTTTTTTTTTTTTTTGTAATTTATTTATAGAAAACTAAAAAGAATACTTACTGAATTGACTATATAAGTAATAATAGCTGCTAACACATAATTTCTAGCAAGAATATCAATAAAGAGAAATGTAATTATATTCCAAATAAATAAAGTACTTTCTTCACCATAAAAGAATATATTTGTAAAATTTTTTTCATTATCTTATAAAAGAAAAATATTTTAATTTTTGATTTTTAAATTATAAAATATTTTACCAACAAATAATAAATTATCTATTTGTCCTTCAAAATTAGATTTTGGTGGAGCACGAAATTCATAATTAAGAATTTTTTCAAGAAAAAATCGATTACGAATTACATATTCATGTGAAGGTAATGAATGATCAATAAATCCACATAAAAAAATATTTAAATCTTGATAAGATTGAAGAAGTATATTTGTATAACGTTCAAAATCTTCTCGCATTTTTCGTGGCCCATTAAAATTCTAAACAAATGAAAATGATATGTTCTATAGAGTTTTAATAGTTTTCTTGCATTTTTTTTTACAATAGAATGAAATATTGGCAGAAAAACTGAACAAAAAGATTTTTGAAGTGAAATTTTGTCTGTTAATAGGTTCCAGAATTTTAAGAATGTCCTACAAGTATCAGCCGAAACGATTGCAGAAATAATGAGAAAAATTGAAAGTTTTTGAATATTCTTAAAATGAAGCGACCTACTAATAGACAAAATTTCAAGTAAAAATCCCTATGTTTTATGCCGAAAACTCAGTAAAACTGTTGTCATTCTATAGAGAAGGTCAATGAACTCAATCTCTTTTAAGAATACTTCCTTTCGTTTTTGGCCATTTCTGGTTATCGAAGAGACTACAAGAAATCCACATGAAACTTTTACCACAGGCGAAACGCTTAAAATAAGGAGACACTTATTCAAGGAAAAAAATTTTAAACCAGGCTTTTGCGGTTTTTTGGAAAAATCCTGATTTTTCATAGGACCACATGGCGCCCGCTTACGAACTCCGCGTAACTTTCACCGATCGGACTGAAAACTTTCAAAAATCTGACTTTATTATTTTTTTCTGAGAGAAATACGTAAAGGTTCGGACCTAAAATCAAAGTAGTGGCATTCAGGAGCTCTCGAAAACGAAAATGGCTAATTGCACTTGTAGAGAATACTTCTAAGTATCTGTGATCTAAGCCTCAGACAGATCGGACAAAGTTCAAGCCGATGGTTTTTGAAGATCTGCTTATAAAACTTTTTTCTCAAACATAGGTCCTATCATTTACGATAATCCAACTGTGATAAAAATACGAACTCGATCGATTGTATTCTCGTCAAGAGTCAGAAAAGAGGGGATGTACATTTAAGGCGCTTCTCAAAAATTGATCTCAGGCCAGGAACATCCAAATTGTATGAAACTTTCAGAATATGTTGGAACTGGTGAGTGATGGCTATGGTAAAATTTTCAGTTCTATATCATGATGTTTGACAGAGATATTTACCAAACAAGAGTCAAAAATAGTTCGATCTTATCTCCAAGATTTCTTTGTAGGTCTTCATTTTATACATTTGATTTTATCTTTTACTATGAGAGAGTTCTGCTTGGCACTACGTCGTTGAATCCACGTTCTGAGAAAAACGAAAAGTGATTTTCAGTTTTTTGTAAAAACGACTTGTTTTTCGAATAGGGGGTAACGAAAATCTTCCAAAACTTTTGAAAAAAAGAGGTGTCGAATAAAAATTTTTATCGTGTATGAAAGAGCAAATGACGGATTATTTCTTCATGAATTTATCTCAATTTCGATGATCCTGAAGAAAAACGACTTTTTTTGAGAGGACTTAAGATTATATATTCCCAAAATATATACTCAGAAGCGATGACACACTTCAGACGATTCTCTCTTAAGTGATTCTTAATTGCTTATCAAATTTGTTGAGTTGCAGTCAGCTGTCTTATTGCAGACTAACACGATAAAATAAACATATCAATAACTCCAACTTTAATATATATGAATCAGAACTAGAGTCAAATGTTCAAGATAAAGAGAAAAGAATATCGTTGTCAGTAATAGTAATTCAATCACAATGAGATTGATTTAGTAGTTTCATTGTCAACAAAAGCCAAAAAGAAAAAAAACTCTAATCTAATAGAATTGAATATACACGCTCAAAAAATATCTATTTTTTTAAAACTTTCCATGTCATTATTATGATATCAATCTACACTTTCATAGATCTTTTTTTCTAAACTATTGAAAGATTTCAATAGAAAATATTTCTTACATAATAATTTTGAAATAATGATGCATATTTTCTTCGAAATTGTCTATTAATTTTCACAATAAATATTTGTTCATCGGAATTATTTTGTAAACCTCTTGTACCACTCATTCGATTTTCTTCACGATATAAATTTCTAAGTATTTCTTTCATATTAACATCAGTCATACCATGTGGTGATCGACCATGAATATAATATCCATGATAATTTCCATCAAGAATAAATACACTTATATTTGATACAGCACATAAATCAATAAAATTAATTATTTTATCTTCAATAAAACGTTGATAAAAAATTGTATAAACTAAATATTGAATAATAGCTAAAATAACAAATCAGTCAATATCCGAACATAGAACAAAAAAAAAGAAAACAAATCCATACCTGTTCCAAGTAATGTTAAAAAACCAATAGCAGTACGAAAAATTAGAACATATTCACGATTACAAACGTTAGTTGAAAATACACTAATCTCAATTTGAGCACAAGCAATATTTTCAAGATTGATCACCTATAAAATGAGTTTTTTTAAAAACAATATTAAAAACGAAAAAAAAAAAATTTACTTTAAGAACAAGTAAAACAAGAAAAAGTTGAAATGAAACATTTATACGACGAAATGTTTGTATTTCATTTAATTCATTTGCTGCGAAATATGTTCGCCAAACTGATACACTATTACGATTATCTAAACTCAATTAACAATCATTTTTATTTTTAAATTATTCATATTTAATAATTTAAAATTATATATATATATATATAAATAATTAAAAATATACCCATTAACCTGCTTTTGGTCTTTCCCAATCCATAAAAAATATATCTATTGTTGATTGTCGTATAATTAAATGAATAATATCGATTGTTTTTAATATAAATGCAACAATCAGAAAAATTCTTAATAAATTTTCCAATGCACTTATATTTGTTAGAAAACTATCATCGTATTGACGCTAAAAAACAAAAAAAGTAATATAATATTAATTGATAGGTAATACAATTTAATTTAACTTTAAAAACAATAAGACAATAAATTGAAACACCAGCTGTAACAAGTAAAAGAACAGTACCAATTATTCCAAATATATACAAGATAAATTTACCGATTGTCTATTAAAATAATAGATTTATTTCAATAGAATAATAATAAATTCTTACTGGTAAATCGATTATATCTCTTCCAGATCTTGAAAACCATTTCCATGTTCTTATGAAAGCAAGAATAAGTCCTGCACCCGATAAAGCTCCAAAAGAAATGAGAGTATTACGATGTTGAATTTCCACATCCATTTGATACTAAAACGTTTTCTATTAGTTATTTATGAGCATATGTCTGTCTGATGAAGAATCAAACAGAAAAAAAGAAAGCGTGATGGTAAAATGAGAAAGTGAGATGGATATGTGCATACTTGACAAGAGCAATACTAAACACACATAATCGATAAGAACTCTTTCTGACTCACATTCTTCTTCTTCTTCTTCTTCTCCTCATTCTTTTTGTCTTCAATCAACTTGTTGATAGTAGTGATAGCAACTAGTTATTTAAACTGTTGTAGACAATTTTGACCTCTTCTATAGATCATAAATGATATGAATTTGTTACGTTCAATCTTTTACAAAAATTTCTCAATGCAATGTTTATTAAATGTTTATAAATGAGTGGGACAAAAAAAACTCATATATATATATATATTGCATTGTAAAAAGAAGAACATATAGTAAATTTTCTTGTCATTCAATAACTAAATATATATTCACCTATGGTATTGACAAAGAAAGAGCTCTTACATTGAAATTGAATAACAAAAATAAATGTAAAAGAATTTGTTGGTATTTTATAATTAACTTTGATAATCGATGAAAGTTGTGTAGGTGTGATCAGAATCTTTTAAAATAAGAAAAAGAGAACATCATTATGAAATATGAGATATCAATGATGAATGAAAAAAAATACTACTTGATTCGAACAAATAAAGCAAACAATCTTCAACATGATCAAATTGCATGATATATTTGCTTGAACTTACATTGATGGAAGATTTCAATGAATAAATTAAGCCTACGTATATCCTAAATAGAATGAAAAAAGAAAAAAAAAATAATTTATTTCGATTTAAAATATATATCCAGAATTTTGATTCCTTATGAATTTTTCTGACTGTAACAAAATCTAGGCATTGTGCCGCGATGATCTACGGAGCGGCAAGTTACTAGAAGTTCGTTCGAAATTTGTCAGAGATATCAATGTCTCGAGATGACACAAACATTTTTGAATCTTCAATAGAAGTTCTCGTTCATCTTCAGTAAGTTTTGCAAAAGGGCGATTTTGACCTCCGTCTTTTCTCCAATGTAACTAGATGGCATCTAGACTTCGTCGAGAATGTGAGATAAAGTGCGAAGCACGAATATCGACTATATCGAATATTCAGTTTTTCAAGCAAAACAAAAAATCGATTACAGATTCAAAGTCGAATGATGTTTGTCTTCGAAGGATTTCTTTTTCAGAGAAATAGAAGTTTCTATCGATCGTTATAACCGCTAGAAGTTGTAGTTTGATGTATCGGCTGATCAAAGTCTGGTACAAATTGAAAAGTAGCCATTGTAGAGTTTATCGCTGCGAGAACTCTATGAAAGCTTGTCGACATTTCTCTAAATAACACGGTCGAGTCATTGTTTAATTATCGATATGATTCATCATCTATTGTCAGCTGTACTGACAGCTGTTTCATATTTGAACAAAGAGAATAGCGCCTAACTTTTTTTTCAATTATCTCGAAGCTGGAAAAAAATTAAAGTCCTTAAAAATTCATCTTTTTTGGACACTACTCATATGTGAACGAAATATTATGAGAAAAATTGAAATCATGGAGGTTTCGGTTCGATCTCGATACTATCATCTCATACTTGGAACGAGAATTTTCTGACTCTCGGTTCTCAAGATTAGTGCGTCACAAAATATAAAAAATATTTGCGTGTGGTCTAGCTAAATATACAGAAATAAAGAAATAAAAACTTGCGACGCGATACTATAAAATGCTTCGCACCTTAAACAAAGAAATAAAGAAAACCTGCGACACGATACTATAAAGTGCTTCGCACCATAAAAAAAAGAAAAAAAAATAAACTCGCTCAGGACTACATAAATGCTGTGCTTCGCACCGCATTAATAAAGAAATAAAGAAAACTCACGACGCGATACTATAAAGTGCTTCGCACTTTAAATTAAGAGTGGTGAGTTAGTCTCTAACTAGTTGTTATTACGAACAAGGCCGATAATGAAAACCTTGGATAGAACGAGATCAATTCTAGGTGAAATTGTTTATCGTTCTTATGTTAATTGAAACATCATTTCCAAAATTTGAGATCGCCTCGCACCACATTTAAGTAGTTCTTTAGGAGTTTTCATTTTTTCCACTTACTAGACGTACACATCCAAAATTATCATTTTCGGTCGCGATAATTTCGAAAACAAAAAGTCAAAAAATGCTGATCCAAACATTAGGATGAAATTTGATAATCGAATCTATATCATTCATTTGTCAATCTTCAATAGGACACTGTATTATCTTAGAGAAAGTCACTGAAAAAGGCAAATTTCTGTCATCAAGATAATTACAACGATGACAAGCTGATTTAGCTGTATGAACAGTTGATAAAACATAATTAAACAATAAATCCACAGCGCTCTCTTGGCTGATCGAAACGTCGGCAATTCAAATTTCTGATAACAGCAACACGAAAGGAACTCGTTACTGTAAACTGTAAATATCTCGTACGATAAACCGTTGTATAATAAATTGTGAAAACGATTATTCGTTTTTTATGAGATATCAATTCTTCTGATGATCGATATTTACAGCTTTGTACAGTAACAAGTGAGAAAAATAATGCTCTGAACCATATATTTATAGTAGACACATCTAAAAAAAACTGAAGAATCTGTTCTGGAAATCAATACGTTTTGATGAAGATATTTACGAAAACCTAAACGATTACATCAAAAACCATTAATGGATAAAAATATGAGGAGATGTTCACAAACGATTAAGATCGACAAAATCATGATCTACTAATTTGCTTTCCCTTGTACTATTAATACATTTTGCTCGAAAAACATCAATAGCTCCATCTAGAGCTTTTGGAGCATAACCCGCATCTGAACGACTGTTCGTGAAAGCAACAAAAATTAGATCTTTAGTAGGTGCTATCAAAAATACTGTACTATGTCCAAAAGCATCTCCATCATGTACTAATGCTTAACCAGGTAACGCCTATGCACGATTGTATACAACAACTCCGAGACCATCACCGTCAACACTTATGTAAGGACGTTTCAATTTAGCTGCTGTATCTTTACTTAAATACCCAGTAGTTTTACCTATTATGTGTGCATATAAAAATTTAGTCCAATCATGAAGTGTGCAAGCAACGAAACCGAAAGGAGCTGATAATGCATATTCAACATGAAGTATATGTGGAGTAAGCATTGAACGTAGAATAGGTTTTGTAGAATTAACAGGTAACTCATGACCGATAGGTGCTTTAGGAAGAAGATTTTCATCATAAACTGGACCAATTCTAGCACTAGTAATTTGTAATGGAATAAAAATATGTTCATGAATTAATGATTCCCATTCTTGACCCGTTATATATTCCATCATAAGAGCTACACAACTATATAACCTTGATAAGAATACAGATATTCACCAGGTTTTACTTCAGGTGTATCTTTTAGAACAGTTTCAACAATCTATCGATGAATCTGACTAATATTACCTTGTTGATAAATAAAAACTAAATCATAATGATTAAAAAATGTTGTCGTCTTTTGAATACCAGCACAATGTGCTAATAATTGTTCTACAGTAACATTTCGAAAAGCACTATTGAAAGTATTATAATTTGGAAAACATTCATGAATTTGAGTAGACCATGACAGTTGTTTTCGATCGACTAGACGACCAGCTAACGTAACTGTCATCCATTTCGAATATGAACCAATATTAACAGGATCAGATATTAGAAGAGGAGAAAGATAATCTTGTCGACGATACCCATTTGCACCTTGTCCTAGAATTTTATCATTTCCCAAGGCTAATGCAGACAAACCAGGCATATGTTGTTGCACACGAATATGTTCAAAATCATTAGAGATATCGTCAATGTTAGTTGTAACTGCATGAGTTTCAAATCGTTGAAAACATAATAAGATAAATATGATAAAAATTACTTTTTGAACCACATCAGATTGATAATATATCATTCGTAAACTATCGAAAATGAGATACAATTCAGAAAAATGTTTTTCTTTGTTTGTGATTATTTATACCACACTTGCTTTGTATATGTCGATGCAAAATAATATTTGCACAATGTCATAGGTAGCTTAATCTCTATCCTAAATAAATCATACAATGACACAAATGAACAGTTATATTCGGTTTTGTTTTTGCAGGACTAAAATTCAATTTTATTTTAATTCTTTTAAAACTAAAACTAAAACTAAAACTAAAACTAAAATCTATATCATCAAGAACTTCTTCCATTGTGTGTGTGAGTTATCTCTTCTAGACCAAAATCAACAGAAGTAATGAATAGTTGAATCAAAGTCATATGTAATATAACGGATTGATTGAAATAATTGAAAAAACTTTCGAGTAACGAACTAACTAAATTTATATTATATAATATCTAAGACTCTAATAGAATTTCTTTATTTGTTAAATTTATAAGTGTGTAGGTATTAGGAAGATTTACAGAACTATATGAAAGATGTGCTTCGTTTCTTGACAGTTAAGTATGGATTATAGACAGTACATGATAGAACCCATCGGATCTGGGTCCATAAATTCTTGAACCCGATGGGCTCTACCCGCAAAAGATCAATCAACTAGGTCCGAATCCAACAATTTTGATCGATCTGGTTCGGGTTCAAAAAACTTTTATTGAATGGATCCAACAAACTTTAATCAATCGGATCCGAATCCAAAAATTTTTGGATCCGATGGGCTCTAGTATACGGGTGGCTATTGTTATGATCTAAACTTGGGATTATTATACATTAATCATTGTAACAAAAAAACAAAATCGAACGTAAGTTTACAATTCAAAATGAATAACTAGCCTATAAGGCTAGGCTCTAGGAATAGAAATTCAACTGTGTTTATCTGCCTGCCTGTAACATTACAATTATATCGTAAGTATGGTACCAACATCTGTCAACGAGGTTACAAATCACAACGATTGAAGTTAATCAATGGTATGACTTATATACAAATGAAGAACGTGGTTAAATAGGTAACCATTTTTTTTGATCATCTAATGTATTGTAAATGAAAAAGAGTGTAGGTGCGAATGATGCTGTGATCCTCTCTCCATGCATGCACTCGTTCACCCACACCTTTAATTGTTAGGTTGCGGTCTGTCAAAAGGAAGAAAAAGTGATCACCGAAACGGGATGATTATTAAATGATCGATTGTTATGAACACAATTAGTATAACTGTTATGAATAGACAAAAGGTTGTACTCTGTGGAGATTAAATTAAGCACGTCAAACTTTATTTTCGCCGACTACATTATATTTTTACAAAATTGATTATAGTTCAATCAATTATTTTTCATTTAACGTTTGACTATGTTTGAGTTCAGTGCGATTCGTTTTCAGTTTGTGTTTCATATGTAGCAAGTTTTTCTTCTTAATGCAATAAAGTTACATTTAAATAAATATGTTTTACTGTATATTAATATTCATAAATACAGATAGCTAGGAGAATCATTTACTATACTTTGTAATAGTGGTGCACCGTCCATTTTCATTAATGCATGTTTAGATTTACATGCAACTAAATCCATATGGTTACTCCGCTAGTCTAAGGCTAAGTGAGAATCAACTGTCGAGAAACGTTACTTTTGAATATTTCTCGTTGAGTTTTAAAAAGGTTTAAATTAAAATTATTATCATCTTTCATTCAACTCAAACATAATCAACATATCATACAGATATGTTCGTTCAAATTCTAAGATAGAAGAAAAAAACATCCTTTTATTCTTTGGTCATGGCTATAAAAACAGATAAAGAAAAACATGTTAGTAAAAAACAAACAAACAAACAAACAAACAAACAATTCATGATGTTATCACATATTTAAATAAGAAAATTCTTTGGAATTAATGTTTTATTCGCTAAATTTTGATGACCTAATGATTGACGTATTTGAGTAGCAATCTATCAACGATTTAATAAAAAAAACAATGAAAGAATAGTTCAATTGTTCATACAAAAAAAAAATGAATCTTACCAAATTAAGTAAATAAGTAATAATAGCAGCTAAAACATAATTGAATGCGAAATAATCAATAAAAAGAAATGTTGCCATATTCCAAATAAATAATGAATTTTCATAACCAGCAAAAATTGCTTTAGTAAAATTTCTATCAGGATCTTTTAGAAAAAGAAAAATATAATTTCTTTTCTATTTTTTTGTTTTGTTTTCTTTTTCGCTTACCAATATAGAATATACTTTCTGTTTGATCTAATGATGCAGATGTACGAGTATTACGAAATTCACAATTAAGAATTTTTTCTAGTAGCCAACGAGGCCGTATAACATAAGTATATGTTGGTAATGAACGATTAATAAAGGCACATAAAAATTCATTTAAACCACGATATGATGCTAATAAAATATTGGCTTCACGTTCTTCAATTTTTTTATTTAAACGTGTAAGAATTCGATTCTAAAAGAAAGAAAAATTGAATTTATATTAATCATTTATTTTTTACTTGATAATTTTGAAGTAAAATTTCATATTGAAATCGAAATGCTCGATCAACTTTAATAATAAATATTTGATCATCAGAATTCGGTTCTAAACCTCTTCTACCAGCCGTTCCTTGTGATTCACGTTCCAAATTCATCGTCATATCTTTTATATTAACATCTGTTATTCCATGTGGTGATCGACCATGAATATAATAACCATATTGATTATCCATAAGTATAAATACACTTATATTTGAGGTTGAACATAAATCCACAAAATTAATTATTTTATCTTCAACAAAACGTTGATAAAAAATTACATAAATTAAATATTGAACAACAGCTACAATAAAATCAAATTATTAAAAATATTGAAACAAAAACATATCTTTACCAGTAGCAAGCCACATTGAAAAAGCAATACCAACACGTAAAATACCATTATAACTTGCATTATAATCAGAGGAAGACGGGAAAAGATTTATTCCTGGTTGAGCTGTAGCTATATTTTCTAAGTTAATTACCTAAAGAAAATTTTTCGATTAAAATAATTCTCTAATAAAACAAAAAAACTTTGATTACTTTCAAAAAAAATAAAACAGATATTATTTGAAATGTCACTGTAACACGTCGAAATGTTTGAAGTTCATTCCATTCATTTGCTACAAAATATGATCGCCAAACTGAAACATCAGTTATATCACCTATAAAATATATTTTTAATCATAATTAAAATTTCGAAGATTTTTCAAAAACAAAAAAAAAATTCTTCAAACTTGTTTGTGGTTTTTCCCAATCTATAAAAAATATATCAATATTCGATTGACGAATAATTAAATGAAGAATATCTATTGTTTTAAGTATAAATGCAATAACAACAAGTACTGTAAATGAAGATTGTTGAATACTTGTTGGTATAACAAGAAAAGCTGAACCTTGTCTCTAGAAAGAAAAATTCAATATTAATTATAGATTACATTGATATTTTACTTTAAAAAATATTAACCACCAAAGTGATACACCGGCCATAACAATGAAAAAAATTGTTCCAATTATATTAATTATAAAAAGTAAGAATTTACCAATAATCTTATCAAATAGAAATAAAAATTGAAATATTAATTAAATTAGTTATCCTACTGCTAAGTCAATTATGTGTTTTCCACCTCTTGAATGCCAAATACTTGTTCGAATAAATGCAAGTATTATACCCAAACCAGATAAAACACCAATTGCTATCCAAATATCACGAATATGTGGGTCAAGATTCATTCGATATTCAGTTTCAAATGTAATCTATTCAGATAAAAGACAGCAAAAAGAATTCTAATCTATACATAAAATTATATATTTTCATATGATTTTTCATTTCATTAAATATTTATCGATGATGAGTTTTATATTATTCAATACATAATACATGTAGAAATTTAATTCTTACCTCTACAAGAGTTCCTTTGCTTATATCAGATAAAGTTATTTCATTGTATTCTATAATAATTACTGGTGGTTGAATATATGTACCATCATTTGTTAATGTATTTAAAATTCTTATTGATTTTGCATAATGAATGCTTCTTAACTCTAAAGTAAAAAAATTTCATATTAAATAAAAAAAAATAATAATTTATAAATATATATTTATATACCATTAGTAGTTGTAACACCAGAAATTCGATCAAGTAGAAAAAAACGACGATGATAAACCCATTTTGATTCATCATCTAAAAATAAATTTAATATATATATAAGATTATTATTGTGATAATTAAGTACTATTTTGATTAGGAGTAGTATCACGATCTGTTCGATAATTTTTTATAACGATAGGAGTTGGTAACATATGAATAATATTAGAGTTAGTAAATACAATATCTAAATATATACAAGACAATAGTAAATTAAAAAGAAAAACATCAATTAGAATAAAACTTACATGGATCAAAGAAAGCAGTTTCGTATAATGTCGAATTCCATAATGCATCAGCGCGAATAACACACTAAAACGAATAAGTATCATTTGAGATGACAGGTATATTAAATCATTTATTGATTGTCACATTAAATTTCAAGGAGATAAAATATTATTTTCTTATAGATTATCATTCAAATTTTATAGTCGGTTTGATTATCGATAACAACGATTCATTCAATAATCAATTTAAAGATAATGATGATAACAAGAAAATCAATATATATAGAAAAACAAAATATTTTTATTGAAAAGATCAACATTAGAGATTTTATTAGTTCAGAATCATGTTCTAATACGTGGTTCGAGCACTTCAAAAGCAAAACAAGCTAACCTAGTGGATCGACTGTTTTGAAAAGATTTTCTTTCTACATCACTCAATTCTTATGTCTATTTTGGAAAATTAATAATTAAAAGCTTAACTTTAATAGCAAAACAAGCAAAGAAGATAGCAGCAAGGTTCTAAAACACAAACCATTGTTTCTTTGTATAATTTCAAATAATCATTCT